AATACACCTGGGAGCCAGAGATCTTGCTGACTGATAGGGGATCAAATACTTATTTCATTCATGAAAATGCAAATTAATGTATAACTTTTTTTGTAATGCATTTTTCTGGATTTTTTTGTTATTGTTGTGTCTCTCACTGTTCAAATAAACCTATCATTGAAATTGTAGACTGATCATTTCTTTGTTAGTGGGCAAACTTACAAAACCAGCTGGGGTTCAAATAATTTTTTCCCATTACTGGTCTATATTCTGTGATACATCCTGTGCTGTGTTCTAAATCAATAATAATATCAGCTTAGTTCAGTCTGAATTTACAATTCGAGGACAAATTAAACTTCACTGCAATGCAAACTATTTCTTGTGCTAAACATTTCCTCTGGAGAGTCTGGCCTCTAGTGGTGGAGCTATTTTTCTATGAGTGGGTCCTTGTTTTGTTTATCTTGTGCACAAGCATGAGGACACGCATGCAAATATGTGTTGTGATACTGAACATGTCACACCATTTCATTAATGTAGATGTTGTAGTAACAAGATACGCTGCAACACACAAGCAAAGATGAAGACGACTTCAAGCTGGTAAAATAACAAAGCAATTTAACATATTTTTTTAGCCCTCAAGGATATAGTCTACATAGTGTATTTTGGTAAATACTGTATAAGTTTTGTTTGTTTACAAGAAAACTCCAAAGGTCACCTTTAAGCAAACACAAGAAAGCTGGCAGTAACGTCTTCCTTTAAATCACACAGAAAGCGGAATGATGTGTGTGTCTGCTGCCATCATGTTCTTACTAAAGTTTCTCAAAAGACTACAAGTGTTGCTGGACTTTTTGTTTTTCTGTTACCTCCTATCACGCTCAAGAACCCATACAAATAAAATGTCTAGTGATTCGGCCTGTTTTAAAAGTCAAATACACTGGTTAGGATATGAACTGTCACTCTGATTTGGCCTAAAATTACTGTCTTCCTACACATAAGTGCAGTTTACTATAAGTTATAAAATACGCTGGAAACTGTCTTGTTGCTACAAACCATTCAGTGTTTCATAGTTTGTGACAGAAGCTTAACAAAGAGAAGTGTAATAAATTGTATATCTCTATACACCAAAACCTATACCAACTTCCACTACATTTTCTGTTCAGGATTATGCAATTTCTGAATTACCAACCAGTGACAATATTAAAGATTAAGTTTAAAATATGGAACAGCTTACCTCCATATTTCTGTCCATGCATTTGGCAGGCGACGACTCGTTTGACCCACATGACTCAGAGCAGCCTGCATAGGGAGTGTTGAAGGAGTGACAAATTTTCAGAGAGCTGCTCTGACAAGTGTCTCCAACTGCAACAGTGTTACAGGGGCCATTGCCTGAAGGCTGCTTTCGCTTTTCTCCTCGGGTGTTCTTAAATGAGTGGGAGGCACTCTGGGCTCTCTTAAGTATCTCACGGTAGTTACTGCTGCCTTCATGAGCTGGCTTTCTTGAGAGACTTTTATAAATGTAGCTGGGGTGCCCTGCTCTCTGCCTCCCCTGCACTGGTCTTCTGTGGTCCTCTAACAGGTGGCAGAGAAAGATGGCCTTTTCTAGCTCAAATTCTTGTCTGTGGTGCAATTTATATCCTGACTGCTCACCATGTATCTTCTCATAGAGCATCAGCAACAACTTCAGCTTTGTATATGTTTCTCT